GAGACGTGCTCGGTTCCCCACGCTGCTGATGAAGAGAAGGTCGGGCGCTGTTCGTTGCCTGGGGCTTGGCCTTGCTGGTACACGCTGCTGTACTGAGCACTCTCTGCCGTTGCGCCATCTTCCCTTTCTTCCGTCCTTCCTGTAGACTCGATATTGGCTGCTGCAGTGTTGATCCGTGCTGCTCAGACTGACCCTGCAACCCGCTCCGCCATTGCTTTGACAGTGGGCGGGATGAAAGTCGTTGTCAAGAGGGTCGAGTGAAACAAATTTTCCTGCCGCATACACTGAAGGAACCAAAAAAGTGGACGCCCAGTGCTGCCAACTGCCTTGCCGTGTCCACGCTGCCCCTTGCGGTGCCCTGTGGTGTGCCCTGCAGTGGCCCTTGTGGCCTTTGCGACGAGCATGCGATGGGGCCCTACGATGGCGGGAATGGAGGCGCCAAGCGCCAGACTGAGGAGGGAGGGGGGCGCAATGGTGTTTAAGCAAATGTCGGGCCTTTCCCCACTTGGCACTTCTCTTACCTAATACTTGCCTCAGGTGTGGCCAGTGCCTGCCTCTAGCTGGCCCAGCTCTTGCCTCGCTCGCGCCCTTGCTGGGTCCGGGTGCTGCTTCATGTCTGGCCGCCCTCGCTCGCTCCTACCTGCCTGCCTGCCTGCCTGCCTGCCTGCCTGCCTGTCTGTGCCTGCCTGTCTGTACCTGCCTCTCTGTCCCGTCGGTTTCGTGTTCCGGCTGTTCCTGCCCTGCTTCCGGTCTTCGGGGAGGAGAGAGAGAGGGAAACGAACTACTTGTCTTTCTCACTAATCACCCGCTCAGAGTCGTTCAACCACCATCGGAAGAAGAGGGACCCAAGGCACCCTGCCTCACCTAGCAACACATTCAGTTGCTTATCAACCACTTGCCCGCCAGAGTTTGGTCAGCGCCGCACAGTACTTGATCTGCCTGGCCTGGCGACTCAGCGTCAGCTCCATCCGACAAAGACAAACTTCTGGCGATCAACTACTCATAGCGTCCCCATTTCTCATCAGCCGCAGCCTGGGCGCATCCCTGCAGAACCTGTCACCTTTATTGACTGACGCCCTGGGCTAACGAACATCGGCCTGACCTCCTCCACACGCCAAGGCCCGGCCAGTCACGACCACTGTTGCAACCAAAGCCCTTGCGCTCAATTCGAGCCTTCACATTTTTCGCATAGCCGCTGCGGCATCACTCACCATTGCTGTCATCAAAATCATCGACTTCTCGCGGTCCCCGACAAGGACAATTGACTGCCTGTCCTGCCCGGGTCTCCCACGACACCCTCCATCTGCAGCCTGCGTCTCCTCGGTACCCCGGATCATCCGTCGCCCTCTCTGCCTCCTCGCAGATCTCACGAGGCGGGGCTGTCACTGCCTCTGATCCGCCTGTCACTCAACCTCATCTACGTCCACGTCCCGATTCAGCCTTCAACCACCCCGCCAGCCATGTTGCGCCCCTGACGGGAGTGTGCAATGACCAGTTGACCAGTCACCCGCGCCTACTAGCAAAGGCAAGATACCAATCTCATCGCAGCCCGTCTTGACCACCAACGCCCGCTCGACTGCAGCTCCCTGCCCGCGACCTCCCTTATCAGTCTAACCTCGTGGCGACTCCTCCAATCGCGCAACCTCTCGTTATCTCATCCACCCTCCACGACCTTCCCCGGTTGTGTACCGCCTCACCATACTGGCCCAGTCGCCCGGGTCGGCAGTCAAGCCTCAGTCAGGCCCTTGGTTATCCCGTCCCATCCGCGTACTGCCGCTATCCATCAGCCTGCTGCTGGCCCCTCCCCCTCCTGGGCCGAGCCACTGTTCAACGACACACCCGCCACCTTGTTCTCGCATCTCCGGCATCTCCAGCTCACTCTTGTGAGCGAGTGAGCGAGTGACTGCCTGATTGATTGATTGATTGACTGACGGACGGACGGACGGACGGACGAGCGGCCTGAGACACGATAGCTAGTGAATCTGCGTCTCCGCCATGGACGACCCTCAGGTTACTATCCGCCAGCCTGCCGCTGCTCTGAGCTCCATCAACGGCCACTCCACAGCGGCGCCTGGCCCCCCGGCAAACAAGAAGAAGCCCCGCCGCGGTGCCGACTCGGCCGCGCAGAAACGGAGATGCGTGAGCACCGCCTGCATTGCTTGTCGCCGGAGGAAATCCAAATGCGATGGCGCCCTGCCCAGCTGTGCTGCCTGTGCCAGCGTGTACGGCACTGAGTGCGTTTACGATCCCAACTCGGACCACCGACGCAAGGGCGTGTATCGTGAGAAGATCGATAGCATGAAGGCCCGCACGTCCACTCTGCAGATTCTCATCGAAGCCATTCTTGAATGCCGCCGAGGACGAAGTGCCGGACATTGTCAAACGGATCCGGGACGTGCGACAGCCCTCGACACGGTGCCCGAACAGATTATCAAACACGAAGACAACTCACAGGAGGACGAGCAAGGGTTCGAAGAGACCTTTGAGGATGAGTACACGACCAACCAACCCGTTGAGGGGAGC